CGAAACGTTGCCTAGATACTTCCAATTTTACGCGGGAGAAAACCCGAATAACCAAAGATCCACATACAAATACCCGCGAGAACCTCAGAAAACATATATATATAAAAGGATCCCTCCCCATTTCTGAAACTGTAGTGTCATGCAGGTGCTTCAGCCCAAAGCATGTTTTGTATGTCTGTGTTATACTTGATCACGTGATAAGTGTGGGAAGATTAACTTTGTATTAAGTGACATGAGCTTCAATTGTATGTGCTTTTTTTTTAAAAAAAGTCTGTTACAATGGAATGCAGCTCTAGTAACATAAGTCTGCACTTTTTAGCTTATTGACCACTAGAGACCAAACAGTGTATAAACAGACTAAATTGTTACGTTCCAATACATTTTCCAAAAGCCAACAGAACAGGAATTAGAATGAGACTTTGGATACTGAAAAATAGTATCAGGTTTATTAGTAGCTGAAAAATAGATCAGGTTTATTGGTTTTTCCCTACCAAGGTTTAGAAAGCAACTGGAATTGGAAAGAATTGTGAAATGGAAATGCTTCTCATTTCTTATCTGTTTTTCTATTTGTAGATATTCTGTGGATCGGCATACTGATATGGACAGAATATTCAACATTGATTCTGGAAATGGATCGATATTTACTTCCAAACCTCTCGACCGAGAAATGTTATTGTGGCATAATATTACAGTAATAGCTGCTGAAATCAGTAAGTTGTCTGTAAGCACACTCACACACACACCATTGCTCAACAAGTGCAGCGTTCTAGCCAAGCAGGGCCGAAAGGAAGTTAGGTCTACTGTATATGCTTTGGTTACTTGCCGTTATTTAAAGACATAAACCTAAAAGAGTTTCTGTATTTTTCTTCATCTTTCCCTTGGCTATAGTTTATGAAGAGGCAACTTGAATGCCTGAACAGAAAGAAAATGAAGAGGTCCCTCTTTTCATATCAAACAAGCAAGAAAAATTCTTCTGGTTATTGACTATCAGTCAGCAATTGTTGATTTGCAAAAAAAAAACAACAGTTATCTAGATTAGAAAGATACAGATATATAATGTCAGGGAGGAGAATGAAAATCCTGCCTGTTTTTCATTTCTGGGAATTTCAGTCCTATAACATTGACCAAAATGAAAGAATAAAGTTTAAAAGCCACTTACTTCTGCCGAAAGCCTATTAATTTAATTAGGATCAGAATTAATTAGGAGAACTAAAAACCAGCTCATCACTCTTAAATCCATTTGTGCAAAAGTTGTTATTGATGAGACTGATTTTCAAGTAGATATGCTTCAAGAACTAGCCTCAGGACAATGAGATTGCAGTGAAAGCAAAAGGCATGTTTTGTCGCCTTTGAAAATGTCAGCCACGTGTATCATCCTTCACTATGTCCAGTTTTGTCCAAGCGGAGGTGATGGAGGAAGGAGTGATCTTTCATGATAATGGAGATTCAATCAATCAATCTGAATAGAACTGGAAGGGACCTTGGAAGGTGTTCTAGTCCAACCCCTTGCTCAAGTAGGAGACCCTGTACCATTTCAGATAGGTCCAGTCTTTTCTTAGAAACCTCCAATGATGAAGCGCCCACAACTTCTGGAGGCAAGCTGTTCCACTTTCTAATTGTCCTTACTGTTAGGAAGTTTCTCCTTAATTCCAGGTTGCTTCTCTCTTTGATTAGTTTCCATCCATTGTATCTTGTCTTGCCTTCTGGTGCTTTGGAAAATGACCCCCTCTTCTTTGTGGTAGCCCCTCAAATACTGGAATACTGCTATCATGTCCCCCAAGTCCTTCTTTTCTCTGGACTGGCCTTACCCAATTTCTGCAACTATTCTTCAGATGTTTTTGTCTCAGGCTCTTAATTATCTTGTTTGCTCTTCTTTGCACTTTTTCCAAAGTCTCAACATCTTTTTTGTAATGTGGTGACCAAACCTGGATGCAGTATTCCAGGTGTGGACCAGGGGTGGGATTCTACCAGTTCGCACCTATTCGCTAGAACCGGTTGTTAACATTCTAAGCAGTTTGGAGAACTGGTTGTTAGAGGAAATTATTGGCCTAATCCTGTAAGGAAGGCTGGAAGGAAACATTCTGGTGTTGCTTACAGAAACTGCCTCTCTGTTAACCCTTATTACATTCTTGGCAGGACTAGACTTCCTGTCTCAGGAACGTCTCTGTAGTTATTTTTCCCTCCTTTGCTGATACTTTGCTTGTGTGGAGTGACCATTCAAAGTTACAATGGCATTGAAAAAAGTGACTTATGACCATTTTTCACACTTATGACTGTTGCAGCATCCCCTCAGTGATATTGAGTTTGCCACACCCAGCCAATAACATGACCACCAAAACCATGTCTACCCAGTCACATGACCACCAAGCCATGCCCACTAACCAAGCCACGCCAACAGAACCGGTTGTTAAAAATTTGAATCCCATCACTGGTGTGGATTTACTAAGGACTTACAAAGTGGTGCTAATATATTACATGATTTTGATTCTATACCTCTGTTCATACAAACAAGCATTGTATTAGCTTTTTTGGCTGCTGCCACACACTGCTGGCTCATATTTAAATATCGTCCACTAGGATGCCAAGGTCCCTCTCACAGTTACTCTTTTGAGCTAGGTTTCGCCTAATCTGTATGTGTACCATTGTTTTTTTCCTGCCTAGATATAAAATCTTCCTTTTCTCCACATTAAATTTTATGTTGTTGAATTGGGTCCATTGTTCAAATCTGCCTTTTTGAATCCTGAACCTGTCTTCTGGGGTGTTGGCTATTCCTGCTAGCTTAGTGTTATCTGCAAATTTGATGAATTCCTCTTCTATTCCCTCATCTAAGTCATTTATGAAGATATTTTCATTTGTTGAAAAGCAGAGTCTTGTGGTACATTAAAAAGTAACATAATCTTCACTGCACAATTATACATTTCCATGGTTCATGGGATCAGAACAACTGAAGATAAATGTGGCATTGAAGTAAATTCAGCCATCTTCTTTTTCCTATATAATATAAAGCTCCTATATCAGGGCTACACAATTCTAGAGGATGATGAGATGACAGTAAACAGAGATGTCTTTATCTCTTAATTTGCTACTGTTGCCCTTCTCCCCAGATATTATAGCTCGGATATGGTATGCCCATTAAAGGTAACTAGACATAAAAGATACTCATCACTTACAGATAACAATAATATACATAACAATAGTAATAAGACCCACTGTAATAATTAATATGGGCAGCAAGAAGTAAATTCCAGCATATTTCTTTCCTCCACAAATTCCCTTTTGCCTTCCCAACTGCCTGTTCTTCCTATGTGTTTTTCTGTGAGGAGCACTACTGACTGAAAAATGTAAAATATGATCATTATTATTTATAAGTTCATGATAAAGCACTTAAATTAAACCAATATGATAGTTGAGCTCCACGCAATAAGTATTTCTACATTTTAGGTGAAATTAATAGGAATTGTAATAGAAAATGTCTACAGAGTACCAGAGTGTCATATTCAAATTTATCTATTAAAAATGGGAATTGGGGCAAGAACTGTGGTGGTACAGTGGTTAGAATGCAGTATTGCCGGCTAATTGTGCCCACGGAGTTCAATCCTGACTAACTCAAGGTTGGCTCAGCCTTCCAACCTTCTGAGGTTGGTAAAATGTTTGGGGGCAATATGCTGACTCTGTAAACGTTTAGAGAGGACTGTAAAGCACTATGAAGCAGTATATAAGTCACAGTGCTATTGCTATTGGTAAGGTGAATGGAAAAATGGAGCTAAAGTTAGGAAATTTGCCTTTAAGAAGCACTGTGACTTCCAGGACTCATTTCCAACAGGACTTCTGTTAAGATATAGATAGGTTCTGAGGCCGAGACTAAAAATGAAGAAAACTGATATGGAAATGAAAAGCTAAAATTTCATTATAGTAAAGTGGACCAAAGCATTTCAGATTGCCTATGATGAAGAGAAAAGATTAACCTGCCCACTACAAAGTGAATATTATATCAATGCTTCCTTTGAAGTTCACCCTTGGAAAAGGAGTTGCAAGCAACAGCATGTCAGATCTCTGTTTATGTTAGCACAGATAAGAAGCATAAAAGCAGGTAAAGTTTCTCTTTCAATTTTACTCAAATCAGAATGAAAATTCTAATAGTAAATCCTCCCCCATTTGCTCCCTTTCCTTGAACCCTTGGTAATCACTGACTCACATTCCCCACCTTATCTGGTTATATTAATCATCCACATATCTGCAGATAGTGGAATCTCAAGAATTACCAGAAAGGCTCTTCTTTCATATTGCATTTTTTTTCTTTCTTTTTTCTGTTTTCATTTGTAGTAGTAGCAATAGAAATAATATAGATGAGGTGGGATTCTCCCGGTTTGTACCGGTTTGGGAGAACCCCTTGTTCCGATGATCAGCTGGCTCTGAACCTGTGATGAGCATGTGGGCCCGCCTGCTCACCCCTGCTCTTTCCTGTGCTTTATTTCCTTTGTTTAGAGTACAGCTGATTTGCGCGGCAGAGCAGTCTGCCGCACCTCAGCTGTTTTATTCATAGAGGCTGCAGTTGAAGGTAAGTATTAGAGGCTTGTTAAAACATGGAGCGCATGCCTGCAGCGCGCATTTGGCACTCTCACACGTGAAGTGCGCATGCACATGCGAACCAGTTGTTACACCAGTTGAATCACACCACTGGATGAGGGGAAGATAGTATCCTGCTTCTAATCCTGTAAGGAAGGAAAATTATTCCTCAGACAATAACTTGTCAGGCCTCGGTATTTCTGCTACTCTCAGTAAAAGAATGTTATCACTCATTGCTTGAATTCACCTCATGAATGTCTTGCTCCCTGAAAAAGCAAACAAACAAACAAAACCCCCACAAACAAGTCATCCTGTTAAAATACCTTCCCTTTGTGTTCTTACAGACAACCCAAAAGAAAGCAGCCAAGTCCCGGTATTTATAAAAGTCCTGGATGTGAATGACAACGCCCCAGAGTTTGTCATGTTTTATGAGACCTTCGTCTGTGAAAATGCAAAAGCCGAGCAGGTTAGCATTTTTGTGTTTTGAAGGAAATAAATATCTGACATTTGTGCCTTTTGTGTTGCAAGGAACTGTCGACAATGGTAAATGAAATCAGCTCATCGCTTCTTGGCCCAAACTGTAACTGGCATTTTTGCATGGTTTAGATGTCTCTTTCTGCACTTTGTTTCACTATCTGCCATTCTGCCCTTCTTCAGTTCCTTTCGACAGAAAATTCTGTTCCTTTTGATAAACCAATGGTGAGTAATATACACAGGATCTGCAACCTTAATGAAGCAAATATCACCAGATCCAAACTCTGGTTATTCAGCAAGCCAAACAACCAGTTAGTATTATTTTATGTGTAATCTTCTATTTGATTCATTAACAGAGGCTGGCAAAAACAGAATAATTCAAGTCCTAACCAAGGATATACAGGTGCTCCTCGACTTATGAACCACAATTGAATCCAAAATTTCTGTTGTTAAGTGAGAGATTTGTTAAGTGAGTTTTCCCCTATTTTATGACCGGTCTTGCCAGTTGTTAAGTGAATCACTGCAGTTGATAAGTTAGTAACCCGGTTGTTAAGTGAATCTGGCTTCCCCATTGACTTTGCTTGTCAGAAAGGGATAAGGAAGGGATCACATGACCTTGGGACATAGCAATGGTCATAAGTATGAACCAGTTGCTAAGCATCTGAAATTTTGATCACATGATCATGAGGATGCTGCAAAAGTCGTAAGTGTGAAAAACGGTCATAAGTCACTTTTTTCATTGCTGTTGTAACTTTGAATGGTCACTAAATGAACTGTTGTAAGTTGAGCACTATCTATAGACAGTTCTAAGCAAGGTATTTTTGTATGTAATATAAGGATGTTCAAGTCTGATGAATTCAGTATTTCCAAATATCGAAGGAATCCTTTAGGTATTGCCCTCAGGGCTCCAATCATGATTGATGTAACTATGGATTTCCACTCCCCCATAAGTGTTCAGCTTATGGAAAATCTGCAAGTCCTTTCATTTTTGCAACGAGATTGGAGGGATTGTTTTTCCTCAATCCTACTCTTATGATGTTGTTCTGACCCAAACCCTTTTCCAATAAAACAAACATGAACCAAAGGGAACACAAACCTTTTAATGATTCTTATGAATCCCCGGTTAAAAGGCTGCTGCAAATTAATTAACTTTGATAAGCACGAGCCTCACCAAAACTGTGTGAGGCTGCCAAGAATAACAGATAAGGTTATCTAGAAATATTTTACAATATAAGAGTCTTCAAATACCAACTAAGATATTGCAATGTCCATGAGGCTCGAGTTTCAAAACGTCTTTGCTTTCTGCAAAGAACGTCCGATTCACAGCTGGCTTTTATCTTCTTGAAGGAGGGGGCATTACCTTGCAGCCTTACTCCCGAGTTGCCTGTGCTGCTGCAGCTGCTCTTTCCTGTGAGCAGCCCTGCGCGCACGCGCACTTGGCACAGGCTCCTCGGGAACCTCCTCATCGCTGCTGCCAGCCCCTTGAAGGCAGCAGTCCACTCCCTAATGGTCCTGGTCCCTCATCTGAGTCCTCGCTCTCCTCAGCTGTCTGCACCTGCTGCCAACTAACCACAACAGATGTGGTGTTTGTATATGTCTGTATGTGTGCACACGCACATAAGTCCACTTGCATAATATTTTCAGAGAAATGGACATATAACAAGAGCCAGATTCGCATAGTGCTTAAGACATAAAGCTAGAAACTGGAAACCATTCTATTCTGGCCTTAGGACCACCTCAAGGCCAGTCCCACTCTCTCAGACCTAAGACGCAGACAACGGCAAACCACTTCTGAAAAAAAACTTGCTAAGAAAATTAAGGAACTAGTCCAGGCAGCCTCTGAGCATCGGGCCATGACTGAATGGAAGAAAAAGAGACATACCAGAGTAGGTAACAAAATCATTTGACAGAGACGGATACGTTAATCTCTGACCTTCCGTGATGCCTGAAACATGCAAGCATGTTGGGAGATTAATAAATCCCTCTTTAACTACATCACCAATATAAAAGCAAAGTTTTTTCCTCTCAAAGCAGTTTTCAAGGGGAAAGTGTTCTATTTGGAGGAAAGATTAATATACAATTTTAAAAAACCATCCTTATCAATCACTATTTGTTATCTTGTTTGTTGTTATTAATTGATTGCTTTCAACCTATTTATTATTACTGATGAATAAGGACAAGGTGTAGATATTGGTCTGGGTGCCATAGGTAAAGATAAAATAACAATATTTTCACTTTTCTAGCTCATCCAGACTCTAAGTGCAGTTGACAAAGATGATGCTTTTGGTGGGCACAAATTCTCATTCACTTTGGCCCCAGAAGTAGCCAGTAGCTCCAATTTCACCCTTCGGGACAACAAAGGTATCCTTTGGGTTTTTTATTGCACACTATTACTATTACTGTTAATCTTCTCATCGCTTCTTATCACCCATCCCCTCCCACTTGTGACTGTAGGACTGTAACTTTGTCGCTTGTATCCTTACAATTTATATTGACTACTATGATTTGATTGCTTATTTTACCCTATGACTATCACTAAGTGTTGTACCTTATGATTCTTGACAAATGTATCTTTTCTTTTATGTATAATGAGAATATTTGCACCGACAAATTCCTTGTGTGTCCAACCACACTTGGCCAATAAAGAATTCTATTCTATTCTATTCTATTCTATTCTATTCTATTCTTTCTTATTTGGCTTTTGACAGTCAGAAAGAACACAACCCTTGCCACGTTTTTACATTCTTCCTTTCTTTTCAGATAACACAGCTGGAATCTTCACAAAGAAAATGAGATATAACCGTCATGAAATGAATATGTACCTCCTACCAGTGATAATCTCAGACAATGAGTATCCAGTTCAGAGTAGCACAGAGACGGTGACAATTCAAGTGTGTGCCTGTGACCAAAGAGGCAAAATGCTGTCCTGTAATGCTGAAGCACTGATCCACCCAACTGGCCTTAGCACAGGCGCATTGATCGCAATTCTCCTTTGTATAATTATATTGTTAGGTAAAGAACTTTGCATGAACTCAAGGGCTATGGGGAGTAGGATGGAGAACATTGTGCTAAGGAACAAATGAAGCATATTACAGAAGGATATAACTATGAAGTGCTTTTAGTAGAGTCATCTTTTAGTATAGATAGAATTAGCCCATGATACATTTTTACTTTCCGGGTCTTCTGACTATTCGTCAATAGTGATACCCAATGCATTGATTGTGGTGAAGCGAAAACCACCATTTCAGTTTCAATTATCTCCATAGTCATGCCATCTTTCCTATTTCTACACATCAATCAAATATCCCATATTTCTTTTGCTCATTAGTTTCAGTGGATTTGCTATCTAATCAACAAACTCAAGTATGTATCCTCCATAAACAGTTCAGAATTATTAATCTTAACCATGTTCTGCGGTTATAATTATGGAGGAACTCACATGGATCAATTCAAATACATACAATTTAAAGTTCACCCACTAAGAAGCTGTGGGCATACTAATTTCTTAAATGCAGCTGCCAGAAATATCCTCCTACTTCCAATCAGGTCATTATTATTCCCATCATTCCCCAGCTTGATAGAGGTATTGCTGGGTTGAAATGCTAACCAACATAGCAAGAAAACTATATTCTCGTAATTTTTGCTGTATCTTATTTCTGATCTTTCTTTACCTCTGCTTAAAGTTATAGCAGGTGATCATAACAACAACAACAAAATGTTGTCAGGACATGTTTGGTAGAGGCAGATGGGAAAGGTTCATCAACTGGAATTCTGAAGTGTTTGCAAAAAAATTCACCAATACATGAGAATATCTGTAGCTCGGGGTTGAACTGTGAATGGTCTCTGAGCTTAGTTGCCTGCTTGTAGACATTTCATTATCCAACTAGATAACTTCATTTGTGAGAATGAGTGTGAGGTTTCCCCCCTGTTTGGATATAAAAGCTTGTCTTGCCAATTTTGGGGAAGAGGATATCTCCTTGATGGTTTCTTGATTTTCTCCCTATAACTCTATAATCTAGGAATCAATACATTATGCTTTCAGGATGGGGTTTAAAATAATAATTATTGGGATTGCAGTTCTATAGCCTGCAGTGGAATTCAATTAATAGCTGATATCATCTTTTTCTTCTCCTTTGATCTGCAATCTCCTTTGATCTGCAATACAATGTTAATGCCAGGTAGTTAACCAAAAACAGCAAAATAATTAAACTACAAATTCTATTTTGTAAGAGTAACAAAAGCAGATGATTTGATCGTTTATTTGCTTTTGGTTATATATTTTATTTTCAATCTTAGTAGACCTAGCTTTAATGCTAAGAATTGCTGAAGAGCCAGAAGAGAAGCAACAACTCAGCTTCATTTTTAACATGTTTTTTTTACCATTAAGAAGACCTATTCTACAAGTTCACATTCCATAAAATGGAAAAAATAGCTTGAGAGTGAGAACACAATTATATTTTGAGCTGAATTACTTATTAATTTTCACAAATTCAATTTGCATATTTATTTCTTTGAATGAAATCTCATTTCTGGAGATATTAGAGTATCAGACTAAAAATAAATTTAAAACTGCAAATTAGCTCTGTATTTTTACACCAGTTGGTAAAGCATTAGACGATATATTGCACAAATGACTATTTGGACTGAGACAGAATTTATATGGCACAGAGATAAATATATTGATCAAAGGATGAGATAAACTCCAATGATAGTTGTTGAGGCTATGCAATTTTTGCACGATCCTTTCCATGCCTTCCGATTTCCGAACAGTTATTTTAGGGATACCTTATTTGTGTTCAACACCATAGGGTTTGTCCAGGTAATCTGCATTTAAGAGGGGGAAAAGTATTCCTGAGAAGTTCTGCTGGCCAAAAAAAATAGTTCTAGATTGGATGGATAAGCAGTCTCATTTGTGTAAGACTCTATTTTTCTTAATTTATAATTTGAAGACTCTTCTAAGCTAAGAGACTCAGTAGAGTTGTCTTCCTTGAGGGTCGTCTGAAAATCATGGAGTAGCTCCATTAACAACTTGAATATTTTTGTAAGAAGACTGGAAAGGCATTATAATTTCATTATTTCTATCAATAAGAAAACTAGTATTTTTATTTCCACAGTCAAGCATTTCAGTGAAGTTGAGAAAAGAATGGGGCAGTAAGCTTGAGAATATAGCTAAGTGTCTATTTTAATGTTATGCCAATCATCTTTGAATTTGGAGTATAGTGAGAATTATCTAATAAATATTCCAAAATAAATTATTTGGATTAGTTATTCTTTAAAATAAAAGAAACTAAGTTCAAACTAAGGTGGGAAAGACCTTATTAAGAATATCATTGAAAATGTTGGTAGTTGTGTGTTTGAAGATTTATTTATACCAGCACTCACATCCAAACATTAAAATTCCAGAAATGTTTGGAGGTAAGTCCGCATTTTAAACCAGGGGTCCCCAACTCCCAGTCCATGGACCAACACTGGGCCACAGCATGCCAGAAACTAGGCCATACAAACAAGCCAAGCCCCATCTGTGGGATGCAGGCAGCCTGTGAAATCATGCCCCCTCTGGTATTTTTCTCCATGGAGCCAGTCCTTGGTGCCCAAAAGGTTGGGGGCTATTATTTTAAACCACCGGTTATAAATAACAGTTCCTAATTTTTCATACTTAGATTTTGGCAATTGGCCATTTGAGAGCCAAATCTGGGCTCCCAAATTTTTTAAGTGTCAAAAAGCAAATATAGCACCAGAGGCAACTGGAAAAAAATACTCAGAATTGCCTATTTTTAAATAGCATAGATTAAATAAAGAATTATAATATACCTTCAATAAATGTTTTAAAGGAAGACATTTTTGAAGTGTTACGATAACTTTTTTCTTGTATCGTATTGATACTGTATATCTCACTTTTAAAAAAATCCTTAGAGAACAAAATTCAAATAATTTCAGCAGTTCATCATCAACCTTTGGTGTAACTGAATTTTCTTTTTCTTTTGTCTCTCCTCAAAATAATCACTGGGGCTTTAAAAGGATTGCATTGTTGCAACATGAAAGCAAACTGAAATTCATTTACGTTTTAGCTTGAAACCTGCATTTCACCAATTTTTTTCCTGTACTTAGCGACTCCTAAAATGATGCGCTCCAAAGTGAGAATGAGGTTAAGGATTGTACTGTTTTGCAGATCTTCTTGCAAAAGAAAACAAAACAATTGTTCCAAAGAATACAAATTTCATGGCAGCTTGCTTTTTGTTTTAATTAGCTGGAGAATTAATGTCCCTCTCAACTCAGCCGACTTTGCTCAATTTCTTTCTTTCTTTCTTTTCTTACCAGTTACCGTGGTGCTGTTTGCGGCTCTGAGACGGCAAAGGAAGAAAGAGCCTTTGATCATCTCTAAAGAGGACATCCGAGATAACATTGTCAGTTACAATGACGAAGGTGGTGGAGAAGAGGACACCCAAGCCTTTGATATTGGCACGCTGCGGAATCCTGAAGCCATAGAGGACAATAAATTGCGCCGAGACATTGTGCCAGAAACGCTGTTCATGCCACGCCGGACTCCAGTGGTACGAGACAACACTGATGTCAGAGATTTTATTAGCCAAAGGTTAAAGGAGAATGATACAGATCCAACTGCACCCCCTTATGACTCATTAGCTACATATGCATATGAAGGCAGTGGCTCAGTGGCTGACTCTCTTAGCTCTTTAGAGTCGGCGACTACAGATGGGGACCAGGACTATGATTACCTCAGTGACTGGGGACCTCGTTTTAGGAAGTTGGCCGATATGTATGGTGGTGAAGAGAGTGATAAAGACTCCTAATAATGTTGCCTTTTCCTTTTTTCAAGAAACAGCAGTGAAATGTGTGATGTCGCTACTTCTTTCTATATATCAACCATTCTCGGAAAGGTTTCTCTAAACCTATTGGTTCAAATTGATTCTTGACTGCAGTCTTTGTGGATCTAATGTCATTCCCCGCTGTAATTTCAGCTTCCAAGAGAGGAAGAAACGCCACCAAACCTTTGTTATTTTTTTTCAAGCGCGTTTTTATTTAGGCAGTTCAACGGCCAAACGGCAAAGCAATTGAGGGAGAAACCCCCCTCCCCAAACAGAAATGGAATACTAGTTTTAATATGTTTCTGCTAATTTTGTAAATGGGATTACCTTAATGTTATAGGTCACCAAATAACCTATATTTTAATGATTTACCCAAGACACATTTGTATGTAAATTATATATAGAACACCCTATTTTAAGGAAATGGTATGGCTTATCATAGATTATAGGAAATGAGTGTAGGTTTTTTAAAAGTTACAAGGGAGCTACAGGCAGTTCTCACTTAACAATCACTTTTTCAGTGGCATTTGAAGCTATGACGGCACCGAACAAGGGGATTTATGGCCAAGCCTTGAAGTTGTGCCATGACAGCAATCCCATGATCACTTGATGGTAATTTGGGCACTTGATTGCAACCAACCTGCATTTACAACTCTTGCAGCATCCCATAATCATGTGATCATCATTTACAACCTTCATTCTGGCTTCCCACAAGCAAAATCAATAAGCAAGCCAGCAGTACAGTAATTTGCAAGTCATGATCACATAACATCTGGCTTAACAACCATGCGGGATTCATTCAACAACAGCAACTGGAAGTGCTGGAACTGCCACTGTTAAGTTGGCCTGGTCAATGTGGTGATTGGCTTTACAACCATATCACTTAACGATGGGCTTGTTGGTTCCAGTTACCGTCATTAAGTGACAGCTACCTGTAAGATACTTTTAAAGTAATTCAATGGTCTTTTGAATGCTAGGGTTCATTTTGAATTGGTCACTTTCCTCAAACTATCAAAACATAATAATAATGGACAATCAGAAGTTAGAAGAAAAGATAAATATGTTTGTGTATATATGTGCCTGGTAATTGGTCCTAGCCAATTCAGTATGTGGGCTACAGTAATGTACTTCAAGAGATATTCTATTCCTGGAAAGTAGTCTATTAGGTAAGGTAATGTATAGAGATTGTAAGAACGTGTATCAAGAAAGCAGAGTATTTCTGAAAATACATGTATGGATTTCAAGTAAACCAACTTAATAATAATTATAGAATAATTGAAATCAATGAATTTCAAGTTAGAAAGTTCTAAATTAATTCCGACTGATTTTAGTCACTCTATTTTAAGCAGGACTGAGTCTGGATCCAATCTATAATATATAAAGAGGGTTCCTAATGTGTATTTTGTGAGTCAATTCATATTAATTATTGCTCAATAACAACCCATACCAGCAAAACAAAGGATGTTATGTTCTCTTTATCACTCCCCACTTGCTCAGCTGGTGGATTGCTGTTATTTCTACCTCCTCCTTCTTAACAAAATACTCTGGTAGTAGTGCCTAGGATTAAGCTGGCAGCAGGTGCTATATTGTGCAGCAAGGAAAAGACATGGCAGAAATAAGGAACTAGTACTACAGTAGTGCCTGGCTAAGCAAGCAGCAACAAATTGCATTTGATATGACCTCACCTTACAATATTAATTCAGTTCAACACTGGTTCATGCTGCTAAGTCACTGTGGAGCAAAGGATTTCAGCCACACCAATTAACAAGAATTTGCACTAGCCATGAGGTGCATCAAAGATGGCCCTGTATAGGATTAAAATATGAAACATGGGCAGATGTTACAAAGAGTCAAGATTTTGTTTTAAGGCAATGAAATGCAAAACAGGAACAAGACACAAAGCAAGGTTGAAGTGCTAACCACCACTATCTGAAACTCAGTTGCAATGAGCAGGCTGAAAAGAGCAGGGAAAGCTTTGAGCTACCTTGGCTTGAATGGCTCCTTGACCCACTCATCTGCCTCACAATCAGCACCAAAAAGAGGTCTAATAGGAGTTCCTTATGAGCTCTCTGATTTATTTAATGGCTGCATTTTAAAGCGAATGTTTGTATTATTATTATTATTTTTTCATTTTTACGTATCGTAGATCCAAGCCTATGAAAATGATGTAGCTTCTTTTAATTGTAGGATTTCCTCTTCTGTAATTACTATTGCAATATTTATATTGTTTGTGTGTGTGTGTGCGTGTGCGCATGTGTGTGCACATACACATGTACAAAATTACATTTAGGTGTTCCTGAATTCCTTTGTCTGATATATAAAGCAGCTTTTCAGTATTATAGTTAACAGAAGGTCCAGTGGGCTGGAAAAGTTTTAAAAAATTGCTAAGGGTTTACATAGAAGGTCAGAGAGACACTGAATCAGACCCATCTATTATGCTGTGTTAAAAAAATACTAAGCTGCTATCAGAAAAACCCAATATTGTAATCCTAGGCATATCCACTCATACCTAAGCCCCATTGATTCATTAGAGAATTCCAACAGTATTGCTTTCTAGCCTAATTGTTACTAAAACTTTAAGCCAGTGGTTCTCAACCATGGTCTGTAAACCCGGGGTGGGTGGGCACAATGTCATCACAGGGTATCCACAAAAGCTTGAAGAAATGGTATGATTTAAAATGTCAGTTGAGTCTTGGTGGTCCGTGGCCATGATCCATGGTCACAAAAGATATTTAGAGGGTGTCCGTGGTGAAGAAAAGGTTGAGAACCACTGTTTTAAGCCATGGACCCAATTATTTGTCATTTGATTGCCAGAATCTCTCTTTTAAACCTGTCCAATTTTAGGTACATACTTAAGAAACCAATTTATTGGTGTGTCTTTTTTAAAGGTCTTTAAAAAATTATTGAATTTGGGTTTCCCCCCCCCCCCCACCATCTAGTAATTTTTGCTTTTCTTTAATAAGACCTGAATATAAAATATGACTGAAAAAGTAGGATTTATCAGCATTTCCAGAGCAGTTCTGCTGTATCTACACACACACACACACACACACACACACACACACAGAGCTGATTGTTCCATTTTGACGTAGATTGGCATCTTCAGGACCCTCCAGCACATAGCACTTGCCTTTTGGGTAGGCTCACAACTTAATCAAGCTTCTGAGTCAATAATTTTCAGCTCAGCTGAGGCTCAGAAGAAACCTAGAGAACAATTCTTCAGAACTCCCACAAGACATTTGAGATGGGAGGTTTCAAATTGGTATCTATCTCCCGAATCTCCCAGTCTGCCCTTCCCTGCCAAAATAAGTTTGTATGGCACTGTGCCATTTCCCTCTTGAGGGTGCATTGAATTGAGAAGCAAATTGGCCATTATACTAAACAGCGACTAGGGTGTATTTTTGTTCTTGTTGTTGCAAAAGAAAAAAGAGGGGGAAAAAAACACCTACAAGCAGATATGGGACACTAGCTACATACTTACCCTTCTGTTGCCTTATATGGGCAGCCATGTTCTGGGCACGGGCCGCCGGTAAACACAGAGTGGCATAGCAATGAGAATATAGTATTTATAAGGCAAGTATGGAAAAAGATTCTGAGGCGGTAAAAGTAGCTATGTAGAAATTTGCTTTGTTTTTGGACGTTATTGGTTTACTATTTTTTTTTTTTTTTTTTAAAAAACTGCTAGGTCTGTTTTGGCAACGAAATCAGTAGGATTGAGGCATGTATATCCCTTTTATATTTCCCAACCTGGTGTCTTCCAGATAGGTGGTGATGTTACTGTTAAACTATGCTTACCGAGGTAGGATGGGAGTTGTAGGTAACCCAGTGAAGAGTTAAGTTGGGGAATGCTACCATACACGATAGGTAATGAAATCATTCTTCATCTGTTTTCATTTTTTAAAAAAAAGTAGAACAAAATAAGACCAATGTGTTTCTAATCCTGATGCAAGTAAGAAAATTAAATCAAAGAGTGTATCAGATCCCAAAGTAATCAGTTAAATGTTTCAGGTTTTGTACATCTCTTGACATATGTTATTTTAAGGAGATCAAGTCTACAGAATACCGTGCTGCAAATAACCAAATAAAAAGTTCAGTGACATTTTAACAAAAGAGTGAAATTTTAGACATCATCTCCTGACAGTAATTTTCAAATAATTTATTTTATGCTACAAATGGATTAATTGGTTTTATGGAACTAGGTTATTAATATTAAGTGTGTGTAAACTGATCTGAAGTAAAAGATATACATTTGGAGTTGATCCAGATTAGTTTGATAAAGAAGGAGCAATAAAGAACAATCAGACAGAGTGAAATTTATATGTAGACATTTTGAGGTATTTTTTTTAAACTAAACCATAGTTATTTAGCTATATTATTTAGTTATACCTAAAATGAGTCTGCATTGCATGGTAATGCGAAATGTGGTTTATTTTTTATTTAGTATAATGAATGAATCTAGGCATCATGGTTTATAATCCATGGTTTATAACCTAAGGAACTATAGCTGGTGCTACAAATCAAAATTAAAGCAATCACTTTATGGTGATAACTCATGGTGATGAATGTGCTCAGTCTTCAAGAAGATTCCTGACTACATCTTGGAGTCAAGATGGACAGTTCAATGAAAATATCAACTGCACAGATGTGCGCAAAAAAGTGGTAAATTCTTTTGTACTTAGCATTATTAGGAAGAGAATTGAACATAGAACTACCAATATAATAATTCACTTAAACAAATTTATGAAGGAACAAATGTGGGCATTGATTATAGTCCTGGTCACAACAGAAGTAAGGAGATAGGTGCCAAACCAGTATGAGGAATTCTGCATTTTATAGTAGGCTAACGCAGAGCTAGAAAAGTTACAAAAAGGTCAATTAAAATTATGAGGAGGCTGAAGTAATTCCCTTGTGTAAAAAGACTACACAAATTTCAAGCTGTTTAGCTTGAAATTGAGGAGGGTAGGAAGACAGATGTTATGGGTATA